ATCCCCCTTCTCGAGCAGAGTGCCAATTTACAATGGAACTGTGCAGAATGCGGAAGGAAAGGGACTAGAGTCACTGACACTGCACTCTGAGAAAGAAAGGGGAAAGTAGAGAGAGAGAGAGAGAGAGAGAACTTTTGAGCCTCTGTGTGCCGCGGAAGCAGTGGCTAAGCACATCCGTCGGATTTCAAGGTATAAGGTGAGTCCTCAGTGTCAGAAAATCGTCTTATTAAAGAAAAAGCCTGAAAAATGGTGCTTAATAAAAGACACGGACAAAGGGGTGTCGCTGACGATTGCCCGGCTGCCGACTTTTCCTCTCCCCCCTTCCCCCTCTCTCACTCTTTTATGGCGATCCGCTCTTTTCCGTCTCTTCCCTCTCCGCTTTGCCCTGTATCTCTTTCACGGTGATTGTGCCTCGTGCCCCTTTTTTATACAACTCTACTCTTTTTCCGGCTGTTTGTCTGAATGGAGAAAAAAAAACAAGGAAGGCGACCTGTGAAGTTTTGTGCCATTGTTTGATGTATCATGTTGAGCTTATTCAACACATTCGATGATTCTTTCTATGCATGACCAATGAGGTTTGTAGTTTTTACGTTCTCTGGTAAATAACTCAATTCAGTAGGTACTGCACGAATTTATTATAACAATTTTATTTCTTACATGTGTAGATAAATTCGTTAAACATATTGTTAAAGTTGTAATTGTTTGTCACTGTGCTCCGTAAACCCATATTGAAAACAGATTGCGAAAATCTACAAAGTTTATCTCAACTGAAGTTTGAGACAAAAGGTACATATGCGCATGAAAAAAAAATTGCCCACACTTCATGGACCATGTTACGACGATTCCACATGATTTATTTTAACCAATTACACAATTTTCTGTTCAAGCACGTATGTATATTTTTTAACATTTTTTTGCAAGCTCTTCAGCGTACCATTTAAATTGTTTCCTCGTCCATTTTTCAACACACTGCCCATTCTTTGCTTCTATTTTCCCGAATGTTCTCTACCAGTTACGACAGTGCGGACGCAGTTTCTAGGCCCCCGCTGGTGAAACGGCAGCCAGTTTTGCTACTCGCTGGTACCAACGGCACGAGAAAACGAGCTGACAAAACGTTAAGGAAAGGAAGAGAGGAGGAATATACAGCAACTGTTCTCTCATATTCGCGCTGACCCGATTTCGGGAGCTGTCTAGTACCATTCCTCCGAGTCTCATCCACGCTTTACACCTCACGTATGCAAAATCTCTCCTTTTTTTGTTGCACGTAATTTTCAAAACAGAGTAACCAGAGTGCAATCGCGTCCAGCTCTACGGCACCGATCCACTCACCTTGGCGCACAACACACAGACAGGATGTGGCCCCACCCGCTTTTCAGGAGCCGCTGTGTATCTTCATACCCATAAACACGAAGCGCCGTGTATCGGAGCATCTCACGCGGAGCTCCCCGATTATATCAGCTCCGGTTGATTGCCAGTTATACACGACGACCGGGCGCTATCTCGTTAATGGAGCCTCCCTTTTCCCCTGCGTAAACCATTTGCGTCCGACGATATTGAGCAATTTCCACGTCTAGGTGCGATCGAGGAATTTCTGACGGCTCATCCCTAGCGCGCAAAAGTCTGCGTTCCATTGGTGATTGATTGACAACCGTGGATGCGTGTGGTAGCTTTCCGTCGGAATCATTGGGCGTTGGCTTTTGTTTTCACGCGAGCGAACTATACGAGGGATCGGTTTATCGTACATCGATCGGCTATTCAAAAAAAAGGGCGTGCACCGTTGACACGTTCAACTTGGGTTATCCTATTAACAGATCGCATTGCCGATACAGACTCGTATGGGTGTGTACCTCGCGATACGTGTACAGGTGACCCAATTAATCCCGAGAAGGAAAGGTAAAAATAAGGACAGGCAAGCACGAGCCGAGAATAAAACTCCACGTAAGGGGGGGAGGCAGAGAGTAATTATCAGGGGAGAGAGAGATAAGATTTCCAATGGCCGGTTATTAAGACCAACTGTTATCGGAACGAAGAAGCCGTTGCGGGCGACGCGAGCCCTGTAATTTGAAAGGAAAGGGGAGAAAGGCAGAGATCTTTTTTCTCCAACAAATTGTGATAGAGCACGTGAAAGCACGACTTATCAGGCCGAAAGCAGGTCGGCTGAGAAGAAAAAAAAAAAAAAAAAACCCAGAGATAAATAAAGAGAAAAGAGAGGTAGCCGTGTAACTGACGTTCGCGCACGGTTGAACGGACGTTTTCGACAAACCCTGGCCACTGTGTAGTCCTTCCTTTGAGGCCGAGCTGCCGTTATCTGTTCTTAGATTTAGCCGAGAGCAGCTAATGGTACAGTGTGAATAGCACAAGTATCTACAACTGGTGTGAGTTGTTTCACGTTATACACGATGCATTCATTCACTCGAGTAATTTCGTTACGCCAGTAGAGGATAAACATTGATTTTCATCGATGTCACGACCAAGTGAAATATATATATATCCGTAAGTCCGGTCGTAAATGTCGGGCGTGACAATTAAATTATTGGTGGCAGCGCGCATTGTATGAATATTTTCCCTTTCCCTCGCGAGCATGAAAGATAAAGGGTGGAAAAATAAATAAAATAAAATAAAACATCCATAAATCAACGGCAACGCCAGCAGTACAACCATTCATCAGAATTTTCGAATAAAAGAGCTGCAAAAAAAAAAAAAAAAAAAAAAAAAAAAAAAAAAAAAAAAAAAAAAAAAANATATATTTTTAATTTAAAAAAAAAAAAAGGATCAACGAATCGATTGTTTCTCAAAGTATGCATCGCATTTGCTGCTTGTTAATGTTTACAAAGTAAAAGAAAAAATCAGCGATGCAACCATATATAGACATCTATTTAGGTATAGTCGCAGTATTGACATCGACGCAATGACACAGCTCCTTCCATCTGTACATAACTGCAAATAACCCTCGAACGGATATGTCCGATCGTCCACTTTATTTTATCAACACAACGCATTTCTTGTCCTTCGACTTGCGTTGGACGCCTCATATATTATGACGAAGAAAGTTTCGCACGCACGAAATGTTCCTCAAACCAGATACTTAATTTTCAAGCTACGATGCTATATGCGAACATAGATATATTTTTCGCACTTTTTTCCTCGACTCCTCATTTCCCACCGGGAACGCGTATACGCTTTGTTGTAACGGGAAACGATGAACCGGAAGTATCGTTGAGGTGCGAGTTACATGAAAAAAAGAGAGAAAAAAAAAAAGGATGAGCGGGAGAGAGATAAAGTAAATACTGGCGTATCAAGAATTAAAATGTTGTGTGCAAGAATGTGTTTTAAAAAATCAAGTCTTTTAATAAATGAATAACCCGATCGAGAGCCAATAATCGGTACGTCGTAGTGCAAATCCGAGGGAGAATGACAAATAAACCTACAAACATACTTTGGCATGATTTTACCGCGTAGACTCTCTCCGTTTGTTTCTGAGGATAAAAAAAAAAAAAAAAAAAAAAAACAGTCTGTCTCATTTATCGCAGCCTGTTGATTTACGCATCCCAAACATACAAGGCCATTTTACTCGGTGCGTATGCAGCACCGCCCGTATATAGCATTGTGTAAGCGTAAAGTTATCCATTATTGTTCTGTAGGCCGATCGTTCGTCACAGTCGAAGCATCAATTACAGCTGAGAGACCCATCAGCATTTATAGAGAATTTCTAAGGGCTTATCCATTGTCTGCATAGAGATATTATTTTCAGAGGCTTTACTGCTTCTAAAATTACTGCTGTAAACGCTAAATCTCATTCGTTCTCCTTCCATGTAGCTTTGTACTAGACTTAGGGGATGATGATCCCAAAATGTGGGCTCGTACACGTGCGATTTGCATGGGGAAAGTTGCTATTTCTTTTGCCGTGGAGAGACTATGGGTATGTACGGTGGTTTTTGTCGCAAGTGACTTTTCCGATAGTTTTTATTACTGACTGATGGTACAAATCCTTGCATCGATCGTAAGAAAAGCAAAAAGCCCCTTGGTACCCTACAACGGTATGAAAAGGGTTGGAAGTTGGAACTCGATGGGTACGAGTGAAATCGGGATTTACCCTCTAGTGGTATAAGGATCGATGGTCGATATTGTGCACATGCATACATAAATGTATGTACGTAATCAGTTTCCTTGTAGTTTACACAGGGTAAGTAGACTAAAGGTGGAAAAAATGTAAAAATTAAGTCTTTTGTATGTTAAGCAGTACGTATTGTTAAGGACGACTGTTGTATTTATATTTTTCCTAGAGCAAAGACGGTAAATCGTATGTTTCATCCATCTTTGGTGTAAAATGAATGAATAGTTAAAATCGAGGATGGTAGGGGTAGTAGTACCCTCTATTAATGTATTTCAGATGGTATAAATGTAGAGTTACCCTAAAAAGTTATCCGATTTGACCTACGATTGATTTAATTGGACAATTTTTCTTTTGTACTAAAATTAAAAAAATGATAATCTTTACTAACACAAAGGATTGGGCCCCTTCGACATCACAATTTTATGATAAAAGTTGTACATATTTGATTGTTTTGAGAGCAATAGGGATAAAAATCAACTATATAACATAACAAAATATTGGGCGCGACCAGACAGCGTGGACATTTCTTATTAATTAGTAAATTTATGATGCTGTTAAAAATATGTTCTCAGGCAGAAGTTGTATCAGGCATACCTTGCAGGCAAATATTTAGTTTTTTCCTCAAAATAATTCGAAAGGTTTTGCAATGAAGCAAATAATACTGAATTCTTTAAAAATATTGATTTTGTAAAGGATTAGTGGATACTCGAGGAAACCAGAAAATTTATGCTTGAAAAACTAAAGAAAGAGAAGCTGTATCGTAATTATTAATATTTTATTGTTTATCTTAATGTTTACATATTTATAAACAGGCCAATTTGGCCGGACAAGGTGTGTATGTATGTAGGTGTGTGTGTGTGTGTGTGTGTGTGTGTGTGTGTGTGTGTGTGGTGTGTGTATACGTGTGCACCGAGAAAATGTGTTACATAAAGTTCGAACACTTTTGAGCTCAGCACAGTGTCATTACTGGCGATTCTTAATTTTTATATTTACAGTTCATTATACAGATAATTCATTTGGTTCCATTGAAATGTAGCACAGACGTGTTAAATTCTTTCGATCGACGATATTAATATTATTCAATCGATACATTGTCATTTTAGACGCTACTCATTGTGAAAAGCATCAAATCAGTCGAAACACAAAAACACCATCTGTATTCGTTGTGGAGACAATAATTTACTTCTTAACAGAAAAAAAAAAAAAGCAGTTTCAATTAATTTTACAAACATACATCCTCGAAGTAACGTGAATCAACCACTCGTCGTTTCAACAACAACGTACAGATTATTATCATCGTCAGCGATAAACAATATTCGCCGTCTCATCTCAAACACGTACAATATAAAGCTTAACGCTACGATAGCCACGATTACACGTAACCATAGCCCACCATCTCTTTTGTTAGCGATACCGCTCACAATGTACGTACACATAGCGATGCAGGGGGGGGGGCGTCACCACCCCGTACACAAATCGTTCAGCGGAGCGATTCGTAATCACAGCCCCCATCGCCCCTGTGCTCCCTCGCATCTATGAATTTTCATGCCCGTCGAGAGATGAGCCACAGCTGACCGGCGTAGCGGAGTAGCTGGACGAGGGGCAGGAGACCGGCCAATACGCTGATGCTGCTGCTTCTCGGCTGGCCCGCCGCGTTCCACTGGTCGTGATGCACCGCCGCCTGCTTTTCTCCTGCGGACAAAAATAATTGACGTTACGATCGGTCTTCATTGGGATGCTTTTTTTTTTTTTTTTTTTTGTCTCGTCAGCCGAGCTCTACCCGCGATAATTGATTGGCGTTTGGATAACAAACACAGGGGACATCCCACCGCAGTCGACGTATTCTCGTTTTAGCAATTAAAGAATAAAAATAAACTCGAAACGAGGTCAAGTATTTTTCCGCGGGATGAATAGGCGATTCCTTGTTCCATTGAAATTGGAGCGAACATCGGGGTGAAAAAAAAAAAAATGAATGTACAAGGATGATTTAATCGACCCATCGGCGTTTGACTCGAAGATGAGATTCTTTATTTTTTATTCTATTGATTTGTCTGAGGAAGCGCGGATGCTTTGTTTTACCATTGAAAAGAAATTGTACTGCATAGAGTGGCTCGTGCAAATAAGGTGTACGAAGAAATTGGCTTTTATTTATTTATTTATTATTATTATTATTATTTTTTTTTTGGGATAAAATACAAGCCGATTTTGAGTATAAAAAACTCAGTTCTACTCTAATATCCTCGCTGTTTCGAAGAGGTCCAGGGAAAAATTTCGTTTTTCCGTCTGACCGAACTTCCATCGCAGAGCCGAAGTTTTCGAGTGTGAAATTGTTGGAAGTTAAAGAGGAGCCGAGCATTACGAGCAAATCTCTGGAAGAACTCCCCGATCGCTAAATTCTTTAATTTCCGGCCACTGAAGTGTTTTCCAGACGGCAAGGGGTTGTCCGCAATGAAATCACGCCTTATGCAGAGATCACAGTTTTTTTTATATTCAAACAGCCGGTTGACAAAAAATGTGCACTCGTACGACGCTTCCGGGCGAACCTTTGACCTGGCCTAACTCTACCGATATCATGTCCTGTGAAAAATCTAAACTCGGAGATATTAAACTCGAATAGATTAGCGTATAAAATTGTTGAAAAAAAAAAAAAAAAGAATAAACATACCTAACATCACTAGCGTATGATAAATCCAAATAAGCAAAGAGCCCATTGGAAGATCTAGAATAAGCTGTACATAGGTGCACGTAAATTTCCCGTAGAAGGCGTGTATCGAGGGCTCGAACGTACACATGCAAGGACGAGCAAGGATAATAAGCTCGCTGCGAAGTCTCTTATCGAAAATTTAACGCCTTCTTGCGCGATAACGCAACCCGGCTTAAAGCCACTCACCGCTTATGCTCAGGTATACATAGCCAGTATGCTTGCATGCAAGCTCAAGCTCCGCGTAAAAAGAACTGCTATCTCTACGCGACCTCTTGCAAGTCGCACGCGTTTTTTTCTATCTCCGCTTTTCGTTGAAAACGTGAGAATGTACTCGACACGTCCAAACGCGAACGAGCGACGACATCGCGCCCAAATTTACGCGCCAGGCCTATAAAGCTTGTAATGCATCCCCCGGCAAAATTGACCCAAATGGCGCGACGACGGGGTTTCGATCAAAACTCTCTCTCTCGCTCGCTTGTTGGCTCGTCTCGGCTCATCCTTGGTTAATCGTTCCACCGGAATGATCGACAAGGCGCGTCGTAGCTCACACGGCTTACCCGGTGCGAGTTAATGCTTCTTAACGACGAGGACGGCAAAACAACGGCAGTGCATATGACGCAGGGAGGAGAGATGTAAGAGTAGGTTTTTGAGCCGTGGGACCTCGGGGTTATATGCATTATTTACCGTTGACCACGTGAATATTAACTGCCGTCGTGCTGAACTGGCTTATGGTGCAGCTGAACTCGCCAGTGTCGCTCTTCTTTGCGTGCTCGATCCGCAGCCTCGTCAATAATTCATGGCCCGGTCCGCTGCTGCTGCTAACGCTACTACTGCAACAAAACGAAATTATCATGGTAATAATAATAATAATAATAATAATAATAATAATAACGATCATTGTACATATTGTATACACGCGTAGTAGACGTTAATGCATGATGTCAAGCGTCCGAAACATTTTGCTGTTGTTGTCCCTACTGCTATTTTTTCAACTTCAGTATTGCGTAGGTTTTTTTTTTTAGGGAGTCAGTCACAATTTTTTTGCTCTTTCGTTGAACTTTATCTGCTCGATGCAGAAACGGAATTCAAAATAAACGCAGATTAATCGAGTAGCTCGAAAAGGGAGGACGAGGAGGCTTTTTTGAAAAACAATCCACAAATGAATGAAAGATTGTAGTAATTGGCAAAGTTGAAATTAAAAATCTTTTTTTTTTTCCTTTGACTCCTTCAACTAAAAGAGTAATTTCATGCGTGCTTAACTCGCGATCGATTCTTTTTCCTCATGGCCAGTAGGTACAATACATTGGAATTGACCGATGCAAACATACAGTTTGCCCATCTCACGGTCAAAGGAGAAAAATAAAAATGTGCTCGCGTGCATCGACATCTTGAAAGGTGATCCATCGCAAGCTCTCTAAAGACACAATTTGTTAGTGTACCGGTGTCAAACTGCAGCTGCAGCTCGAGAGGGAGGGTTGGCCGTATATGTTCTGATATATAAGTGAAAACGGAAATACAGGTAGAACAAAACACCGAGAGCATTTTGCGTCGGTCGAACTCACCCGTTGCTATGATAAACGTCGATGTGATCCGGGAGCGTTTCCCCATTTTTCTTCCACACCGGATGGGGAACTTTCGAGCCGGGCTGCGACGGCCGGACTTTGCACGTCAACTCGATGACGCTTCCCGTTTTGTAGTAGCGGTCGCGCAGCTCGTGGTTCGCCTCGTCCACGATTTTTATCTCTGGTGCTAGTGGAGTAAAGTTATAATTTGTTTTATTATTATTATGATTGTCGTTAAATTTTTTGTATTTAATTGTATCTACCAATGTACGCTAACAGTTATTATTATTATTTGAAATAAAATTTTTTAAGTCCATGCTTAGTCGACACTCGTTGGGCAAGGCCGGCTGACCTAATATACAGCTGTACTACTGATTTTTTTTCATTCGTTCAATACACATTGTGTGACAACGCGCTAAAGTTAATTCTGTTCATACATCACAAATACATTATAATTTAATACATTAAAATTCACAAATGGATAATTAATTCATTGGTAAGTGAGAGCGTGGGCTTCTACCGTACCATAGAAATACGCGAATCGTTTGTATCATCGAATTTCGGATGATTGTTGTTTTGAAATACAATCATCCCGTATCAATTACACGATAACTAATAAAGCATTTGTTAATAATGCAGAAGCATAATTCTGACGAATGTTATAATAGCTTATTGTATGAGCAAGCTGTATTATCGATTACCATTTACTTTTTATATGAAAGTATACCTGAGTGCGAAAAATACGAGAAAACAGAAAGGATCGATCGAGGCAACAGGTGAAATTAAGGTTTTACAAAATAACTTTACGAAAAGCTTTGACGCCACCCTCAAAGAAACCGCGTTCAAATATGAAAGAGTGAGTGTTTGAGTGGGTGCCCCCGTATTTTATCTCGTCTTTCTTTTGATTAATCTTACCACACGGCTCTCACGGAGGAGCTACCTGTGGTAACGTGGACGAGATAAAAAAACTAATCCATAAAGGCTCCAAGAGGGGGAAAAAGTGGTGGTGCGTTTATTATTGATTGTTCAAGCGTCTCAATAGTCGTGCGGTTGGACAAACAGTGTCTGCCACGCCGAGGGTCGAATAAATTGTGCGTGGCAGCACGTTTGCCAAGGGAAAACACAAGCGAGCGATTTTTCGAGGGAGCTAACGTCGAAAAAAGTGCCGCGACGCTTAGCAGCTGTACGCGCGTGGGAGAGCTCGAGATCTTTTCGATTGAAACGTCAAATGCGTTTGTAGGTGGTTGTAATGATCCATGGCGCTCGAGAGCCATTATATCTTTCAAAAAGGCCATTAAATAAGCTCATCAGGTAGCACGCGCTTATCGCAAAATCGGATCTTTGACTCATCCATAAATTTTTTTTTGACGCTCCGATACGTCACTGTTCGAATAAATCGGTATGGTTTTTACAGGCGCTGTTTTACAGCACCAAAGTACCAACTTATGAGTTTCAAATATTTTTCATCTACCAAACGACAGTATGTATTGTCTTGTTGTTTTAGATATTAATCTTTAAACACAACACTAAAGCAAACACAGCTGCACATAGAATACACAGCTATACACAGACAGCTCTTCTTCGTGTCACAATCACCACCGAAGCCGACGCTCACAATTTTGACAATTTTTATCCAGTTCTGGTGAAAAAAAGGTGACAGGCGCAGGAAAAAGTGGTGGCATGTTAAATGCTCAGAAGCCGTCAGCGCATGAAAACGAGGTGGCCCGAAAAAGTAAGCACCTGGGAGCGTTTTAGCCGGTATTTAAAGGGCACAGAGCCTCGAAAAATACATACACACGGCCCCTGCCTTTTTTAGGGATTACGCGATAGCTTTGGTACGGGCGTGGGAACAGAAGAGCTTGGAAGGAGAAACTGTGCTGTATAATTGAATCCTCACGCACGCGGAATTTTAATCAAGGGCCACCTTGTGTGTATTTTTTACATGTATATACATGTAAGCGAAATTTTGCAGTCTGTGTGCGATGTATATGGGGAGAATGAGACTTTAAAATAGAGGGCCAAGAGTAGGGGGATACGTTGAGGAGCTCTTTCGCCGCGCCGATCGATAATTTTCAGACCAGATTTTCCCAGAAATTTTTGTTCTTTCTCGTTACTTCTCGCTCTAGATGTTTCTGTCATTTCCTGGATGCTGGAAAATAATTCAATATGATATTCGTGAAACCTACGTTCGTGATTTCAATCGTACAAAATAACAGACAAAGTTAGATTTTAAGCCTTGAGGGTACATAAATTAAGCCACGTTAATGTCATCGGATGAAAGATAAACGCAAGTGCAACGACTATAGGGCCAGCACTCGTACACGTTGTCCATGAGCGCTGTAATCAAATAATCGTGGTCAAAGGATAATTTGGCTTTGCGGTGGGATTAAAAAGTTTTTTAATTACCGCACGGTGTAAGTAGCGTAAAATTAAAACTTTCGAGACAACGTCGAGGCCGGTAATCCCCGGGTATTTCGGCATTCATTGGAGGCGGCGTTACTGTAATTTCTCACTGCAAACGAAAAGAAAGTAATCAAAGCGGGAGGTTAAAGAAGTAGTAGCGCTTCTCCATCGAAAAATGTCATAGGCGCGAGGTGTACCAAGTATAAAAACACGGCAAACGACGAGGCCGACAATGGGCGTACTCGTCTGATGCAGAGCTCGACGAAGTGTGCAGCGAAACGCGTTTTTTCTACTTACACGAGTATACAGTGAGGAAAAAACCGGCGTGTGTATGGATATCGACGGAGAGGCAAAGCGTGTACATCAGGCTACATTGTCCAGCGAATGGATGCGTATACTTGAATGCACGAGGAAGTAGGTACATCACGAACAAGCTCACCGAGATTGTAAGCCTTTTTACGTTACCCACGAGAATTGTATATCGTTTCAAAAGTATCGCTGTAAATACACACAGGTGTACGGCAAAAGATCGGACGAGTCAAAAGTAAGGGTGAATTTTGCCTTTCAAATGGGCCGAAAGGGGAAAGTTCGAGCGAATCTAAATAGATTAACAGGGAAACTTTTATTTTCCCAACTCCCAAGGGCCAGATGGGTATATATATCCTGCCACCGGCGACGTCTGAGGACTTGCAAGTTCCGGGAACTAAGCGATGAGGGGAAAGTTGACGCAAATAAGACTCGGGATGGAGCTTCGGCCCCGTACCTACTTATGTGCTGTCGGTACGGGTAACTTCCAACGACTCTTTCGGCAAAAACCTTGTTTTTCCCGTACATCGACGCGACAGCTCTGCCGCGCATTCGACAAATACCTGCTTGTCTGGCTTTCGTTTTGTTTGACTACCTCACGACTACAGCCCAACTCGGACTCGGATAAAGGTATAAGCTTGCAACTTTATTATTATTTATTCGCATTGGTGATCAGTGTTCTTGTAGCAAGCAGGACTTGTAGATCCTTGCAACAATACTGACCTACTGGCAAAAAGTGTATTTCCAGCTGGAGAAAGCCAGCGAGTGAAAAAACAATTTTTAAAATATTTTCGAACCATTGAATTTCAAGAAAATCTGAGTGGGAAAAAAAAGAAAAGAAAGGAAAAAGGGGGGGGGGGAGGGTCCGTCGCGCTTGATTGCAGACTCCGCGGGTACGAGTTTGGCCATTAGTTCCCCCTTGGCGAGTAAAAGGCAAGGCTCACGCTCGATTTACCGAGAATAGTGACGTTAGTCACGAGCATCCTGGGCGGGTGCGTGTTCACTTGGCAGACGTACAGGCCCCGGTCGTCCTTTTGAACGGCCGAGATCGCGAGCCGCCAGTTGTTCGGGTACTTGAACCTGACCGAGTAGCGCGGGTCGGCTATGTGGGTGGCCTCGCCGACGGTGAGCAGAGCACGATCCGGGCTCTGTCTGATCCAAAGCACCTGAAAAGCAAACGTGAGTGCCGCTGTTGACAATTGTGGCATAAAATTCAGTGCGAGGTGGATACCTTGGTGCACAAAGTGCTCGGGAGGGGCAGATGGAGCGTGGTATAGCAACGAGGAATGCAGGAGCGACGGCATTCCTGTCCGCGAAGGAGGGGAGAAGAGTGGAAGAGAGGCTCGCATAATTACCGTCTTTCCGGATAGCATGACGACGCGGCAGTCGAGCAGGGCGGTGTCGCCGAGGTGCACGTTGCTCTGAGAGCCATTGATCTCTCGGCCCTCGGCGTTCTCAAAGTAAGGGCCCCTGTGCGCGACGTGGTGGTGCCTCAGGTGCGGAACCCTCAGAGGTGACTGCTCGTGCTTCTGATGGTACTGGTGGTGGTGGTGGTGGTGACTGCTGCTAGTCTCTGCTGCACAAAAAAAAAAAAAAAAAAAAGTAGAAAGAAAGGGGTGGTTTTGTAATGTATATCGTCGTCCTCGGGCATTTCTCGGTCTTGCAGGAGTATGGATTGGAGTAGGGCTGTCGACTGAGTAACCCAGTTTTCGGGCTCTCTTCTCTGCAGACCCCTGGGCTCTTTTGATTCGGCTAAGTGCTCGCGCACATACCGTGGTTGTTTTGCCTACTGTCGATGTCTCTGATGTACATTTTTTTTTTTTTTTTTTTTTTTCATTCCAGCCCGTTTTTTCGCTCTCGTTTTTTTCGAGTCATTTGCCGAATTTCACACTTTCTAGGACACCCGTCTGCCGAGTCGATCATTTGGAAAAATCTTGCCACGAATAACAGCAACAACAATGATAATAATAATTAAAGATTCCTCCTAGCGTCTTTTGATCACGGGTATTTGGGTCTCTCTCGTCTACCCGCGGATAGCACGTTTTCGTATGTCGATGACGGCGTTTCAAGTTGTTTGTACTTTCGAAAACAAAGTTTTCCGGCTTTTGGCGAAATTGGCTCTACCGCCGTTGAGAGCCGCTATTTGTAATTGCACCCTTCAACTTTCATTCAATTAAAACTAGAACACCAATTTTTTTTCCCCTTCGTTATCATTGGATTGACTTCCGCTCTGTAAAGTAAGGCTTTATCAAGACACCCACTTCTATGTCACAGTTTTTATTCGTCAAGAACCAAAACATCCCTGTACAATAAACACCAAAGGACGAGCCGGTCCTGTTGTAAATGCATCTTTTTGCAAAAATAAGATACACACATGTAGACTTTTGTACAGCATAGATAGCGAAAATGATCGGCGCGTACGATCCCCGAGCAGTTTCGTAAATGCGTTAGCCAAGTTCTCGTAGAGATTTTGCGGATTCGGAGCAGCCGTCGGTACGAGAGCGGCATGATCTCACCGCTCTTTCGAGTCAAATGGAGGCAATATCCGGCACCGAGAGAGGCCACACCCGCAAGAGAGCCAAGGGATTTTCGAGGATCCGGCCGTTCTGGTATAGATACCGCCCCGTACAGGGACACGTATAATCAAGAAGGTGGAGGGCGAGGAGGGAAAAGCCGACGCGTACGTGGAAAATTCCCGGCTTATTGGTCGTCGCGACTGCTGCTCCTTTGAATTTTTCGTTCCCGACCGATTCCAATTGCCTCCCCCAACTTCCGGACGATAAAAGAGGAAGGGAACCCCCGTGCTCTTTGCTCCCCGTTTCACGACTAAAACTAGGTCATCTCGACTGCGTATACACGAGCGGAACTTTGGCTCATTTTCCTCTCACTCGATTACCACGTTGGCTCCCGCTTGTGTGGTGTTCCATCGATGGCTCGCCACAGTTCACTAATGCTGCCCAAAAAGGATCGATCTCGCGTTTCTTTCTCCGGATTATTGGTTCAAACGAGCCATCACGTGGTAATGTTTGCAACAAACTTGGGTCACGCTTTCCTCGCGCCCCCTCCGAATAATAGCCAAACTCAGGATTTCCTCGATCGGGCAGGTGTGTGGTCTTTTGACCTTGTGTTGCGTTGATTTTCGCTCCAACAATTTCGACAGGAGCTCGTTACGCTTACATTGTTTATTTTTGTTCATCACGCATCGTTGACTAATCTAGTTAAAATGTACGGGATAAGCTCTGCACTTAAAAAAAAAAAAAATGACGAAACCCACATGAAACATATACAGAGGCACTTGAGTTTGATTTGCCACTCCTGTCATAATTTAACTTTGACCTAAGAGTACGTCTAAACGTCAAAGCGAGAGCAAATTATACAGGTGATGGGTGATACACTTTACCGAAACGCATCCCGATTAAAAAAGTTATCAGCCCGAATTGGCGCTAATGGGGAGTATCCATAGCGTGGCAGGTCACGTTGTACTGTATACGAATATAAGCTACAAGTGTACGCAGAAAAGGTCCTACGGTCGTAAACAAAGGGCTTCCAGGGCCGTAGCTCCGCTCGAGCGATTTAGATCAAAATCTCTCAATTAAGGATCGTCACCGGGGACAATAAGTCAATGGGATGGTAAATTTATGCGCGCAGCAATTCAGCCGCGGCTCAGTGGAAGTAAGGAGGAGGCGCTGGTGAGAGAGATCGAGGCGATCGTGAGAGGTGCTCATGAATTATGCATGGCTGGCCCTATTGTGCATTATCTGTTGTTTAAGTGTGCGAGGGCGTGCCTTTTTTTTCGGTGAAGGAGGGGGCGAAGGAAAGTAAGTTGGCTTCCTCACTCTGGATAACGGAGGAGAGAGTAGAGGGGATGGAAAGAGGAAGACGCGAAAAAATGAGCCACCTATTTACGACAAACGGCTCTTGTGCATATTTCATGGAGGGTCGTGATGGTGGCGCTTCGAGGTGATTTCCTAAAGTATAACTCTGAGAGGTGAAACTCGATGCGTACCTTGACTCCATGCTAGGAATGAACATTGCCATCATTTTCTTTTATTTCATATGCGAATGTGTGTTTGTGTGTGTGTGTATACTAAAGCTTTCGACCGGTTGGAGGAAAAAAAAAACCATTTTTTCGCCCTTGTACGATAAAGTTGAGGGCTCCATGGAGGATTATATTCAAATAGGGTTAAATGTAATAATCAAGAAGTTATATGATGGCCGTTTGATCGACCAAATATTAAGGCGTATTAAAATTCGTGAGTGAAAATAGAGGGACTTATCGGTGCCACTTATCATCAAACCATTGAACTCTCATGCTTTAAACTGCACGTATTCTCGTGAGCCGTGCGGAATGTTAACTTATTGTTCGAAGCATACATCACTCGGGCGCACACGCATCCCGTCGTTTTCCAGGAGCAAACATTAAAATTTGGCACCGAGTCGAGAGCAATCCATTAGAGCACTTAGCAAAAGCCTAACCTGCGCTGCACTCAAAGTGCCGTTATTCTCGGCCAAACATAATGCTCCGCAACTAAACGTTTGGTCGAGACCGAAAACGGAGCTGACAACGTTTGCTGGCGACAAAATGGAGCATTCGTTGTGGAAGGGAGGCAAATCCGATCGGGCCAAGTGGGGAAAAATCGGCCAAACTCTCGACAAAGCCTCTCGTATTACACTCCCCACCGTTGTCGTCATCGTGTTCGCTCGAGGCGCATCTTGGCCCTTCAGTTTCCCGGGAGCAAAACGCCAAGACGACACGGAGTATCAGCAGCTAAAACTTTCGGGCTATCAATCACGCGCGAACCTCCAAAACTTCGTCCCGCTCCTCCTCTTTAATCCGCCCTATCTGCTCCGTTTTCTTCAATCATCGTACGAGCTCCTGACGTCATCGGCGATGCAGCGGCGATGTGGCGAGACTTTGTTATCCTGCTCGGTAAGTAGATAGAGTCAAGCGAACCCGTGATTTCCATTATGGTTTTCGAGACTTTGGGGCTCAGTTGACGCTCGTTTGCCAATCGGCAGATGAGTTCGTACGTCGATCGGTCGGATGATGTGGGAAACTTTAATTGAAGTTTTGTTATTCGTGGAATAACATCAACCGATGATTAATTGTAGTGTACGATATGCATTTAAAACGGGAGATAAGAAAGTTGCGCATCAGGGCTGATTAAAAAGGTAATTCGTTCTCGTTAGAGTTTAATCAACAACTGAAAACTTCTTACGCAATTAGCATTTATAAAATCCCAAAGAGTTATGGGCTGTATCTCGATGAAATTATCCAGCCCGCGGATTCTCATTTCACGTGTAATTAAACATAACGAATGGCACGAGGATTTCTCATTTCCTCTCGGTGCTTTTCATCCTTTTCATACGCGAGACTTGTGTATTACACGAACGCCCCGATTAAACGCATCCGTCCAATGAAACTGATCGAAGAGAAAGTCAAACGGCGCAGACGAGTACCGTCAGTTTTCACGAGGATCGAAATTAAATTTACTCGAAAGAAATCGGAAAAAAAGGGGAGAAGAAAAGGAAACAGGGGAAAGGTATCGGGTTTAATGAAGCGGGAAAAAAATAGTAAGAATCCAATCTGTTGCGAATGTAAACACTCGAATCCTTTCTCTCTCTCTCTCGCCGTCTTCAGCCACGGGTAGTGCAACGCTTCGTCGGAAAAAAAGGCTCAACTGCATCCTCGAATGCGCGAAATCAGGACTCTGGCGTCTCTCGAAGCGGACCGATGAAAAAAGAAAGAGGAGAGAGAAAAGTATCGGTACACGTGGCCCGCTAAAAATGCAGCCCGGCAGCCCGCAATTTCGCCTTTCCTTCCCTACAGGAGCTCAAGACGCTCGGTCCCATTTTCAGCCCTGGAATGCGTGGTATCAGCAGTACCGAGCAACAACACACGATTGTGATAGTTTTATCGTCAAAGCGACGACGATCTCGGTTGTCCCGTGACGTAATTACGACTTTTTGCGTCGAGGTTGTGCGTCCATCGTCCCCATGTCGTCTCCTTTTTTTTCTCTGGGGAGCACAAAAAGGGGCCGATTACGGGGCTGCTGATTCGATTGTGGTCGGGACTGTATATGCGGTGGCGCAGGGGTCACGTGCGCGAGGAGGAAGAAAAGGTTGGGGAAAAGGGGGTACTGAGAAAAAAAAGGGACGGGATAAGGAAGAGATTGTCGTGGACGTAATGAATAGAACTAGGAGAGGTGTGAGCCCGGGCGAGACGGAACAAGGGCGGACGAGTGGCTCGCTGGGTGAGAGAAATCAGTTTGAGACTCGTTTCTTCGAGATGGCTCTCTAGCCGAGTTGCTTTACCAGTTACCCGAGTATTTCTTGCTTTGCTTCCCGTTTTCTTATGTCTATTGTCGTTGATCGATGATATCCTATTATGCTTTGAATATTTGTTTCACGCCTGTAAGGCTGTACGGGAGATGCCTGACTGTATCAAGGTTTTACTACTGAAATCGACAATCGACGAGGAGATCGCATAAATAATAAAGTTTACGACAAGTCTTGAATCAGATAGGTTTTATGGATGTATCAGAAGACTCATGGCATTTCGTAATACTTTATGCT